CACTGAAGTTCCGCTTGGTTACCGCTTGTCGCTTCATCCCGTTCTTCCAATTCTCTTCTTAACTCAGCTACTTTTAATTCGTAAAACTTCCTCGTCATTGAAATGTCTTTCACTCAACTCCACACCTGACACCAATTGTAACTTTCGTGGGTTTAACAAAATTAAACTTCGAAGACTGATAACGACAAAAACGATTTATTTACACTAATTAATGAAGAACCTAAAAATACTATTAACTTATTAAACTTAGATTATGAATTATTCTATTTACTTACACTACCTGTTGATATATCACTATTCACTGCGCTATTTATTTCACCGCCAATTATTACTGGATTTACTTCTGCGACGGTCAATTCATTTCTTTCTTTCTCGGCGATCGTCTCTTCCTTTAAATACCCTTTTGTTTACTTTTGGGAATCTTCTGGGAACATCCGGATAGTTTACTTTTTTTAACTGTTTAACTGCTTCCCCGGAACGCAGGTACGACACACACATTTACAAATACGCCGCACATGAAGTGGGCACAGTGGACGCTTTTTGGTTTTAATTTTTTCATCCGCAACCGTCCAATACTCTCGTGGAATAAATAGGCAGAAATAGACCAACACCATTTTCTTTGTCGTATACGCGTTCTATAAACTGCTACTAGTCCGTCAATTTTATCTACCCCTCCATACCTTTATTGTACGTTGCAATCATTGTTTTTGATAGGTAAGTTTTTTGGGTTTGGTTGCCCTGCACCAGCAAAATTGGAAGCCAGTGAAGCAATTTTATTGTCCTTCCACTGCACTAATAACACTTTTTCGTTACCAAGAAACATGTAAGTTCCTCTCGCTTTTTTGTTCCAAGCCTTTTTATTAGGAAAAGGACATTGTTCGGTTCTATACTCTCAAAAAGTACCAATTGCACATATTTGTAAATCTGGAAGAAGAATAAGACGAGGTTTACCTGTAGATCTTAGCCTTTTCCAATATTGACACAATAACATCCCCACCTAATTCAAATCGTTGTTCATTAACGACNTCTATCCTTTCTTGTAAAAACTGGCACTTCTTCCAGTTTATTACCAAACCGAATTGACCTGCAACATCTAGCACTAACTTCAACCTTGACAACGCTTCATCGTGATTTACAGCCAATACAATTAAATCGTCCATATAAGTTAAAATTATTCTGTTAGCTATTAAATCTTTGAAAACTGCATTAATAAATTTCTGAAAAATTGACGGAGAATTACATAGGCCGAAAGGGACTTTTAAAAATTCAAATTGACCATTTGGTGTGACAAAAGATGTAAACTTTATGCTTTCCTCGTCAACAGGTACATGAAAGAAACCGTTTTTGAGATCTACCGTGCTAAAAATCGTTGCATCATTAAGTAGGTCCAATTGATCCTCGATCAGTGGCAAAGGATATCTATCTTTAATAATTTTTTTATTTAGAGCCCTATAGTCAATGCAAACGCGTGTTGAACCATCTTTCTTTTTTACTAAAACTATTGGACTCGCATACTCAGAGTCCGATGGACGAACGATCCCTTCTTCAACCCATGAATTAATAATTTGATCTACTTCTTTGCGTTCGGGCGGAGATAAACGTCGTGGGCGCGAATAAACTGGTATGTCATCTTTTAGAATTATTTTCATTTTTACATTAACTTCACGGGATTTTTCTGGCTTGTAATTATGGACTAACTCTTCTATCTGCATACGGTAATGACTGTTTGTTACGTTGGATAAATCTAATTCGTTCGAGTCCTCCACGGCGTTAATATGAAAAATTTCAGGAGTACTGAAATCGGTTGAGGACTGGCTTTCAATTTTGGATATGGTTGTTTTCCCCTCTCTAATATTTAGATCAACTTGATTAAGAAAATCCGTACCTATCAGAACTCCTAACTTTAGAATCGTACTTGGAACTACGTGAAATCTTACATTATTAAATCTTGCATTATCAATTACTATGTCAGCATTAAACTCTCCTAACGTTTCGTTACCGCTTGACCCAATACCATCAAACTTAACACTAGACTTAATTAAACTAGGTGAACCTATTCTAACATATTCGTCTGTCCTAATTAATGTAATATCGCTACCTGTGTCGATGAGCGCAGTGAGTTTGACGTCCGTTATGGTGATTTCCTTTGTATGTTTCGTGGTGTGATTCCTTGAAATGCTGTTGGTCTTCTGGGTGTTTGTGGGTTTTGGTACCGAACTACCGCACTTAATCGCAATGTGCCCGTACTCATTACACTTAAAGCACTTTAATCCTTTTTGTTTATTCGGGCACTCCGATTTAAAATGACCTTTGTCACCACACATATGACACCGTTTCACATTCGATACGCTTTGAAGTCCTAGCCTGCTTTTCTCCCCTGTGGAAACGCGTTTTATGGTGTCTTCTTTCTTGTCCTGGATCTTCCTGTGGGACTTCATCTCGCTCTTCATATCTTCAAATTGAGAAAACCTTTCCTTCAGTTGTCGGATAGTTTTCGCTCCATATAAAATAGATTTCTCAACTGGGTCTTCTGGTATTCCCTCTATTATGTACTTTATTACGGTTCGAGGTTCCAGATCCGCTTGGCTGGCTATCTCGAGCATCTTATACGTATACTCTTGATACGTTTCGTCGTTCCTTTTATTTCGCCTGGATAACTCGCGGTGAACCTTGTAGCTATCCACCACTTCCTCAAACTCGCTTTTTAGCGCGGATTTTAAACTTTTCCAAGTCTTACCGCATTTTTCGTATCGGACGAAGAGCTTGGCTGAACCAGTGAGAAGACGTTTTGCATAAGCCACCTTCTGAACATCAACCCACTGACACAATTCTGCCATCTCCTCGAAATCATCCAACCACCGAGTGACGCTTAGTTTTTCATCACCACTGAACTTTTCTAATGATTCTTCCACATCTCGAAAAGTCAGGGATACTTGTTCACGTGTTTGCTTCCGTCGGCAACCCGTCTTAGTCGCTTTGGGAACGTCTTCGTCATCTTCTTCGTATTCACTTTCGTTATCTTCTTCGTCTTCACCTGGTTCGACATAATCATTCGTAATAGCCTCATTGTTCATCATCAGTGCAGTTCGGAGTCGCTCCTGTAATTCCTTTTTGCTTCCTTGCGTAGACAGCTCCAATTCTTCCAACTTTTTCCGTAAATCTGCCATCTTCATCTTCACGATATCGCCCTGGTTATCACTCATGATTCCAAACTTCTTAAATAGTTTGCAACAATTTCTAATTGTTCAAACTCTGATGAACCACTCGCGATATACAACTAATATGCCTTTCTTCTTTTAAACACTACCGATTAGCGGCTTCACGTTACACTATC